GTGGGGCCCTGGGCCCAACCCATGAAACCATTTTTCCCTCCCAAGCCATGAAGATCTCTGAAATGGCCTGGAGACATTTTCTCCATTGTCTTAGCAGAAATTCTGCCAGTCTCTTTGCTAAAACATAGCAAGAGTAGCATTTGCTCCAGTTCCCAATAAGTTCCTCATCTCCATCTGAGACCACAACAACCTGCACTTCAATGTCCATATCACTATCAGCATTTTGGTCATAACCATTCAACAAGTCTCTAGGAAGTTTCAAACTTTCGCACATCTTCCTGTCTTCTTCTGAGTCCTCTAAGCTCTTCCAATGTCTGTCTGTTACCCAGTTCCAAAGTCACTTTTACATTTTCAGGTTATTTTTATAACAATGCCTCTCTCCTGGTACCAATTTTCTGTATTAGTCTGTTTTCATACTGCTATAAAGAACTACCTGAAGCTGCGTAATTTATAAATGGAAGAGATTTAATTGACTCACAGTTCAGCATGGTTGGAGAGGCCTCAGGAAACTTTCAATCATGGCAGAAGGTGAAGGGGAAGCAAGACATATCTTACATAATGGCAGGAGAAAGAGAGCAAAGAAGGAGGTGCCACACTTTTAAATCATCAGAGCTTGTAAGAACTCACTCACTATCATGAAAACAGCATGGAGAAAACAATCCCCATGATCCAATCACCTCCTACCAGGTCCCTCCGTCGACACATGGTGATTACAATTTGAGATGAGATTTGGGTGGGGACACAGAGCCAAACCATAGCAACCTTCATCCATTCCTGTATCCTTTTTTCATTGAAACTCAAGTAAAATAACCCAGGGAGTATAATATTGTGGTGTGGTGGAAATAACTCTATCATGATGCCAGGGTGTGGGTTCAAGGTTTGTTATCTAGAAAAGTAATTTATTTCTCTGAATTTCAACATCTATTCATATGAAGAGGTAATAATATCTACCTTACAGAACAGCTGTAAAGATTAAATTAGAACTTTGTATGTTGCTTTAAAAATATTTGTTATTTTATTGTTTATTTTATAAACAAAAATTAATTTTGGTGGTATGGATCTGAATAATTAAGATCCCAAAATGTTGTTTTCTATTAAACTATATGGATATTTTTGACTTTTCTTCCCCAGAAATTAATAATCTTCATGTCTTCTGCTCTGCAGTGTGTGAAGTACAAAGAACTCAAACATGGGAACATAAAAAATTTGAATTCACACTCTGGCTAAGGTGCTCTGGATTCACTTAGCAGTTAGTGCTAGTCAAGTCTTGTATCCTTGGTTTTCCTTTCCATAATATGAATGCAGAGTTTTAGAAAGGATTGTTGGTAATGTATGAAGGTGCTTAGCGCAGTGAATAGTTCATAGTAAACAATGATTGTAAATTATATTGGGATTCTTTTCTTTTTGATATGCCTTCATATTATCATCAAAAATATGGGTTTGTCTATGTTCGTAACTACTTTATAGGTCTTCAAGCATTGTGCTTATTTGGTGGTAAATGCTGACAAGATTGTACCTTGAAAAACAGGATCATTTGCATTGATAAAAATTATTTAAAAATTAAATATCTCAAAGTTCTTTTCCTTTCAGATAGTGTAGTTGGAAATTCTTTAGAAACTCAAGTTCTGTAAGGGACACAGACATTTTAAGTCATGGTTACTGCCTTCAAGAAACTTATACCCTGGTCGGAGGAGGCATTGTTTTCACTAATATCTCTGTCCAGTGAAATGATATCTTTGTATAGTGACTGGGCTGTGAGGTAAGAAAAGGAAAAATGCTTTCAGAGATTAGACTGATGTCTTTAAAGTCATTCTTCGGTCAATGGAGATGAGTCGTGGGGAATCGGGTAGCAGGGAGGCAGACAGGGCATGAAAGTCTGCTAACTTTATATTATGTGTCAAGCGCAGTACTAGGCAATTCACATCCATTGTTTTAGTTCATCCTAAAAATAATACTATGAGATGGATTGTAAAATATTGACTTTATGCTAAAAAATATAGTAACCTCAGGAAGGTGAAACAACCTTGTCTAAGATGACATACCCAATAAGTGTTGGAAATGGGATTTCAATCGTTAATAGGGGGAGATTACAAAGTGGGTTTTATTCAATTTAATTGAAAAATCTTTATAAAATTTAAGTATCTCACCATCTCCAAATATTCCTTAATTTATCTCCTGGATTTCCTCCTTTTCTTCTCTGTTGGGCCCCCACTGAGTTCAACGCTAGTTTGTGGAACCCCCTGATCAGGGCAAGAGTTATAGCCATTCTTTCAGTGCACATGGCCCAAATGGCTTATTTTTTAATCTGTGTACTTTTAGCAAGGAGAAAAACTGACAGTTATTTCAGATGTGTTAGTCTTTGGTATCAAATAGAAAGAAACTCATTCAGCATAATTTATTGTAAAAATGTTGTACAGAATATACCACAATTAAGATACACAATTCAATCATTTATCCTTTCACTTAACGAATATGAGTGATCATTGCTCCCACCCCCTAGTCACAAAACTTTATAAAGCAGTTTTAGATAATCAGTACAGTCAGCTGCATGTAGCAGAAAATCAAATTAACATGGCCTAGCTGAAAATAATTTTTTTGTGTAAAAAGAAATCTGACGATGGACAATTCGAGACAGGCAGAAGAAGGGTGAAGAGATCATGAGTCCATGACTTTTTAAAAGTGATTTTAGGAGTCCCAATTAGCAACTTCGGCTTGCATCTCATTGGTCAGAATCCATCACATGGCCACTCCTGGCTGCAAGGAGAGCTGTGTTGTGGTTTGGAATGTAAAAATTGTAAGAAAAAGAAAAATATTATCAGAGAGGCAGAAGGAAGTCTTTCTAAAATATCAAGAATTTTAGTTAGCCTCTATAAAAGTAACTCAATAGCATGAAAACAAATAACCTGATTAAAAAATGGGAAAAGGCCCAAATAGGCATTTTTTAGTAGAAGACATACAAATGGCCAACAGGTACTATATATGAAAAAAACATTCAACATCACTAATCACACAGGAAACACAAATGAAAAAAAACACAAGATATCACTTCACATCTATCAGGGTGACTATTATCCAAAAAAAAAAAAAAAAACAAGATAACAAGTATTAGTGAGGATGTGGAGACAAGAGAACCCTTGCATACTTTTGATGTAATTTAAATTAGTACAGCAGTTACAGAATCCACAAGGAAGTTCATTGAAAACCTCAAAATAGAACTACCACATGATCCAGCAATTTCACTACTGAATATACATCCAAAGAAAAAGGAAATTGATATGTTGACAATACAGCTGCACTCCCATGTTTATTGCAGCACTATTCACAATAGCCAATATATGGAATCAATCTAAATGTCCATCAACAGTGGAATGAATAAAGAAAATGTGGTATATACACACACAATGGAATACTACTCAGTCATAAAAAAAAGGAAATCCTGTCATTTCTGACAACATGGATTAACGTGGAGGGCATTATGTTAAGTAAAATAAGCCAGGCACAGACAGACAAGTACTACATGATCTGTTACATGTGGAATCTAAAAAAGATGATTTCATAGAAGTGGAGAGCGTAAGCCTGGGCGCAGTGGCTCACGCTTGTAATCCCAACACTTTGGGAGGCCGAGGCAGGTGGATCACCTGAAATCAGCAGTTTGAGACCAGCCTGGCCAATGTGGTGAAACCCCATCTCTACTAAAAATACAAAAAAAAAAAAAAATTAGCTGGGAGTGGTGGCAGGCACCTGTAATTCCAGTTACTCAGGAGGCTGAGGTGAGAGAATTGCTTGAGCCCGGAAGGCAAAGTTTGCAGTGAGATGAGATCATACCATTGTACTCCAGCCTGGGCAACAAGAGTGAAACTCTGAAAAAAAAAAAAGAGAAAGAGAGAAAGAGAGAGAGAAAGAGAGAAAGAGAGAAAAGGAAGGAAGGAAGGAAGGAAGGAAGGAAGGAAGGAAGGAAGGAAGGAAGGAAGGAAGGAAGGAAGGAAGGAAGGAAGGAAGGAAAAGAAAAAGAAAGAAAGAAAGAGAGAAAGAAAGAAAGAAAGAAAGAAAGAAAGAAAGAAAGAAAGAAAGAAAGAAAGAAAGAAAGAAAGAAAGAAAGAGAAAGAAAGAAGGAAGGAAGGAAAGAAGGAAAGAAAGAAGGAAGGAAGGAAGGAAGAAGGAAAAGAAAGAAAAGAAGGAAAAGATGTAAAGAGTATAATGATAGTTACCAGAGGATGAGTGGTTAGGAAGTTGAGGATAGGGGGAAGTTGTTAGTTAAAGGATACATATTTATTTGTTTTTTTTTGTTTGTTTGTTTTGTTTTGTTTTGCTTTGTTTTTTGTTTTTTTTTTTTGAGATGGAGTCTCGCTCTGTCGCCCAGGCTGGAGTGCAGTGGAAGGATACATATTTATAGTTAGATAGGAGGAATAAATTCAAGAGGGCTATTTTACAGCATGGTAACTATAGTTAATGATGATAGATTGTATCTTGGAAAATTCTAAGAGAGTAGATTTTAAGTGTTCTCACCACAAAAATGGTAACTACATGAGGTAATAAATTTGTTAATTAGCTAAGTTTAACTATTCCACAATGTATATATACTTCCAAACATCATGATGTACACAGTAAATATATAACATTTTATATGTCAATTTAAAAACTAATTGAAAGAAAGAGAGAAAGGCAGGGCAGAAAAAAAGGTGTGAGTGGCTTTGAAGAAACTATTAGTTCATTACAATGTTGAGTAAAGGAAGCTACTAGTCTTACCTGAGCTGTGTTTGATGATGCAAACCCTGCTTCTACCACTTTTTCAAGTTTCTTGGCCTCTGGAGCAGAGATAATTTTAATAGTTATAGGGTTCTTATGTCAATTTTATGAGCTAGTGTGCTATGCCTGGCACATAGTAAACTTATAACAATAAAATTAATATTTGTTGGTACCATTATTAAGTAGTATAACACTCATACTTCTCTGTGACTGGAATGAGCCTTTTTACATTATCTGCATATTTTTTGTCCTAGGAATACCCAGCTTGGGTTCTGGATATGTCCTCTGAGAAGGTGCCCATGTCACTGACTGCACTGGAGGCCAATGCAGATACTGGAGGAAGGTTCCATGGTAGCTAAGTGTGGACAAGTTAATCACTGAAGTTCCCTGATGTAGAGCTGATAATCTCTGGAGTTGGATGGAAGACTGTGCTGCCTTGAAGCTCTGAGAGATGCCATGCCAATTCAAGGCAAGGTCTTTATTGTTGAAATTCTTGCATAATGACATCTTTATTCAGGTGAAAATACAGGATGAATTTCAACTGTATGATACTGTTTATGTTCATCAGACATATTATTTGTCTTTACAAAGACTGGTTTCAATAAACTGGCTGTGTAACCGATATTAAATAAACATGGAATTTTACACATTCATAATATTTGGTTTCTTGTGATTCTGATGAACTATACTTTCAAGCATTGTCAGTTCATCCTCATTTACAAAGAAACATTTGCTGTAGCAGAGTGATGTAGTGACTTGCTTTACTTAAGGTAAGTCAACTTTTCTATTCAATGTTTAATGTGAAACTGACTTAAAAATGTTCTTTTAGGCCCCATTTACATTTCTCTTTGTATAACATGCATTATACTATTTTAACTTAATACTGTGGCTACATAAAGCAAAGATATTCTAATTCTGTTTTTAATTTATTATTTTGCAAGATAAATAATTTTTAATGCACTAATAAAGCTAAGGAGTTCATATTAAAAGACATATTATATGACCTACTGAAGTTGATCTATGGAAATTGACTATCTTAAAAGTAATTTTGTAAAATTATTTTGTATAAAATTGACTTTCTTGTATGAATTCTTGACAACAAATATAAAACAAAAGGAAGTTGAAACTCCTTCTACATCCTTCTGCACACTGAAGAGAGTTAATTGAATTCTTTCTAACTTCATGGTTTTTGTGTTTCTTAGAAAAATAAATCAGATGAATAGTAAACATTGCAGTTGCACATATCTGCTTCTGGCTCCCTATTTAAAATGTACTTTTTCAAAGTACACCTAGTTTTTTCACATCTTTAAAGTGATATCATTTTATTTGTGGATTTATTCATAAAATGTTTTCATTTTTGCCATCCAGGAAAAGAAATGTCATGGATTTTTTTGTTTTGTTTTGTTTTGTTTTGAGGTGGGGAAGCCTGAAAATATGCAACCCTGAGCCCATGCTCCTTCATCCTATAGCCTGTTTCCATTCCAGGCACCCTGTAAGCACTCATCTACATCTCAAAGATAAAAGCTATGAAAGGGCAAATAAATATGCCAAGAATTTAAGTTCCTTTAACCTTAAAAGGGGTTATTTAAAACAGGCACTCCTGGCATACCATGACCAACTAAGGTCCACATACTGGCATGTGTTGGATACGCTGCCTTTATAGAAAGGCACCAAGAAGATGCTGAGGAGGGGAAAGTCAACCAGCTAGTTCAGAGCACGTTTCAAACAACAGGGTAATGGTGTCTTCATACCTAACATCTGATTTTTAGTTTTGAAATTGTAGTGGTGGTGATGGAGAGGAAAACCAGTGAGAGGAGAGGGGAAATGATGAACCTAAAAAGCAGAAGTAAAAAAATAGAGAAAGTCTGTAGGCATTTTAGTGACAAAATGCTGATTCTTATGGCCACACTTCAAAGCATGCTAGGACAAGCTTGCAAGGGTCAGCAGGATTATTTAAAAGGCTTAGAATTTTGAATATATTTTTTTTAACAAATCCTTTTCTTTCTCTTTTATTTTTTCCCTGACCACTAAACTACCAGAAAAAAAAATGCCATCTTTTAGATTGGGCTACTTTGGTGGATGAGTAACCTCACCCATTCCTAGGATTCTTTTCTTTTGACTAGTTTCATTTTTCAGGCAGTGACCTTTCCCTGACCTCGGCCCCAAACTCCAGGTCACCTTTCTGTAGCCCTGGTGTAGCACTGAATAGAGGGCTTACCAGATTGTTGGCACTGGTTAAGTGGTACTGAGCACAATCGTCCTCTTTCATAAGCAGGAGGGAAGTTTCCTTTCCTAGGATTGAGAAAGCTGGCTGACTTATGCCCCCTTTTCATTTTGTTGTTCAGTAATTTTCCCTCTGACCATATCTGCAAACTAGTTGCCTTGCAGGAAGGTGACATGCACCACTGAGGCAAAAAGACTGTTTATTGGCACCAGCACAACTTTCAATGGTACTTCAAAACAGATTCATTTGATAGTGAAATGTTAGTTATTTGCCCCAAATAATTAAAAAGTTTAATTGATTAAAGCTTAATCTCAGCTATTTAAATATTTCTATGCTTTTTTTTAAATTACACTCTCCTAAATAAAATCATTATATGAACACCTAGCTATGCCAGTCTTCAATTCACCTTCAAATTACCCTAGGAAAGATCTCCTTTTACCTCAACATGAAAACAAGTTTTTCCCAAGTTTTCAAATAGTGGGAAAAACATCATTTGATTAGACCTCAGTAGGAGACCTTAAATACCCTCTATCATTTGGCCTTCATGTTGCCACATAGCCATGGCCCTACCAACAGGATGGGTACTTCTGATGTTCTAGGATGTTCTGCTGTTTCTTCTCCAGGAGGAAACCTGTTTAATGGGTCCTAATGCTAAGACCCCAGGGTTACAGTGTTTTAGTCCATTTGAGCTGCTATCAAAAATATAAACAGTAGAAATTTATTTCTCACAGTTCTAAAGGTTGGGAAGTCCAAATCAAAGCACCAGGAGATTTCATGTCTGCTGAGGGCCTGCTTTCTGCTTCATAGATGGTGACTTCTAGGTGGGTCCTCACATGGAGGAAGGGGCAAACAAACTTCTTTTGGCCTCTTTTATGAGGGTGCCAATTCCATTCATGAGGTCTCTGCCCTTCTGACCTAATCACCTCTTAAAGGCCCTACCTCTCAATACTATTGAGGATCAGGTTTCAACATAAGAATTTTGGGGGAACTCAAGCATTTAGATGACAGTGTACAGTGAATGGCAAACTCTAGCATGTCACACTGTAATGCAAGACCAGTGTACCAACCTGTCTCTTTTGAATAAATCAGTGTGGTAATATTGATGATTTCCAAAGCCTCCCTTTTGTATTCTGTATTTGCTACCATTATAAGGATGTCAGCACTAAAGAAAAAAAAAGAAGAAAAAAGCAAAAGAAGGAGGATCTCAATAGCTAATGGGAAGCATTAAGCTAATCCCTTATTTTGCCATCCAATTTTGTCAGCTTTTGGAAAAATAGTGCTTCAAATTATTTTTCCAATGAATAGACTCATGTCTTATGTTTGGGCATTTAATTAGGCCCAAGGGGGGAAAAGGTGGAAGTTTTTAATATTATTGTGCTATGCAAAATACACATGAATATTTCCACTATATTAGGTAATTCTATATCAGATACACTTGTGATTCTAAGCCGCCTGGCTTTGGTTTGGCAGAATGCAACCATCAGTCAATGTTAGCTCCATGCAGCTGCATTGTTCCCTGTGCGCTCTAAAGCAATCAAACGAGTCTGCAAATGTTCTTCAAAGAATACATCTAGAATGTTACTTTGTTAAACATCTCCTTGGCATTCATTCTATTTTCCACTTTGAATTGCTGCATTTAGTTTTGTAATGACCTTCTATAGCTAGGAGGTTTTATTAACTCTTTGATCTTCTAGCTTTGGGATGAAAACAAAGAAAATATAAATGAGCACTTTGTGCACTGTCTTATAGAGGAGACCAGAAGAAAAAAGGAAATATATTTTCATCAAAAAGATTGGCTTGTGTGGAGACTTTCAGCCCTTCCCGTTCTTTTCTCCCTTTGAGTAAAATGCTTATCAATGTTGTACATGTGTTTGTTTTAATGTCTTCTTTATAACAAAGTCTTTGTTTCTCTTCTCTGTAGCTCTGGTAGTTGAGGTTAGGGTCAGATATCTCTTTATGGATTTTCCTTTTAAGAACATTTTCTATTCTTGGTTTCCTCTAACCCAGAGTATAATTCTTGGGAAATCTGTCATTGTATTTATGAGATACTGGAAGTCCTGCTCTGTTTCCAAGTATTCCTTTGTGTGTGTCTACATGAGTGGTGAAGGGGAGGGCATCCCCAAGCTCGTAGACACCTGATACTATGCTGAGAAAAAGATTGAGAATTCTCTGTATCTAAATCTCAGTTCTGCACTTCATCGTAACTGTGTCTGTGTATTCTGGAGCATTTGGCATAGAACCTCACCATTTAGTTATCTTGCTTCCTAAGTCCTGAACTCATACCATTATTAACACATGGATGAAATACTGCCTTTCAAATTGACTATATTTTTATCTTTTGTCACCCTCCCTTTTTTTACATACTTATGTGACTTTATCTTTTTTGGTCTTTATCACAACTTTGGAACAAAACTTTAGGTAAAAGATTATAGAATGCTGAAGTCCTACTCCTAGCTTGAAACAGTAAAATAAATAAATAAATGTAAATAAATAAATAAAAAATTATAAAATATCAACATTTGCGACACAAATTAAACACAAAGGGTGGAAATAGTTACTCATCAGAACAAGCCTTTTCTTTTCCCCAATCTCATAATCAGCCATTCATTATATTACTTTCTTTAGCATCTTGAAATTTGAAACTCTTCTTTGTTGTTAAATCTAAAGCAACCTGAACTAAGAGTCTGGGGACTTTTTTGATTTGCTTAATCTAGACTTTAGAACAACAGGTGAACTAGCTGTGTGCTGATAATATTATCTGGTTATTTTGCAGTGCCTTAGGTTAATTGGAAATGGAAAGCCATTATTCATCTCAAAGTGGCTTCATTTAATTTTGGCTAAGTTTTCCTTTTGTTTGACTCATTTAACACTAATTGTGGTAGTAATGTGCTAAAACTATAAAACTATATAATTCCACTAGTCTCATCTGTTTTTCAGTGATGAAAAAATAATGAGAGACAGTTTAGTTGGGGGCCTCGACCAAGTAAGCTGAACTTAACATTAGAACCTGTGCCTTTTCATTTCCAGTCAGCTTTCATTTGCTTTCCTGGGTCAAAGAATAAGGGAAAATGATCAACTATTGATATGGGAGACTCAGCTCTTCTTGATGAAACTCAAATGACATTTTCATCTGAAAGAGGAGTGGCAACTAGCTTAGCAAATCTTTTTCATATCCTCACTTGATGCCTTTCCATTGCTTTCTCCTTCTGGGAACATCCCTTCCTCATCTTCGTAATTCCTTATACTGTTCTGTACTTACTTGTTTGTCATGCTTTAAGTTATAATTTCCATAAGCTGAAAACTTGCTTATTTCTAGAATATGTTTTAAAAATATTTCATAATGATATTGATAACTATAAAATGCTAAAAACTGTGAGACTGCTTCTATTTGAAACAAATTATAGATAAATAACTTACTTTTGAAAGTGTCTCAGTCTGGCAGCTGTGATCAGCAAGCAGTTTAAATTTACAAACACCTTAAGAATGTTTCTAAATATTCTATTGAAATGCCTTTTTATAACAAAATACATGATAGAGCAGTCAGTATATACATACATGCAATACTTTAATCTTGGGTACAACGCAAGATGACAAGCGAAGACATTAGCAGAGCAGTTATTAAATGAAAATATAATATAAGTAAGAAATGCTGAAATTTGAGATCTTGAAATAGTAATTATTTTAAATGGTCCCAGAGAGATTTGAAAATATTGGGAAGAAAAAAATCAAGGTACTTACAAATTTCTTTCTATTTTTACCTTTTGGTGGCCCAAATAGTTTGACACAGTATAACATTTATTTAGAGGCTAAAAGTATTTTAAACCTATTTGATATTTTACACTTCTTTTAAAAATCTCAAAATACCTTTTTAAATAGTAATATTGCAAAGATTATACACAGGTCTACTAAACAGCTGAAGAGGAAAATATTTTATAGTGGGCAATGACAATCTTGTGCCACTTAATGATGAACAGTTTCTGAGAAATGTGTCATTAGATAATTTTGTCATG